GTTTAAGATTGTTCGAAAAATTATATAAAGATGTTTGGAAAGATAAATTTTAAATAAAAATGTTAAAGTTGAACTTTTTAAATGAATGAAACATACAAATCAATCAATTTTGAAGGATCAGTGAATGATTTTAGTTTAGACAAACAGAAACTCTGCAGTGAACTGACCTCAGAACCTCTAGTCTACAGTTTGGACTCTCCAGACCAGAACACAGAGGTTTAACTCCAGAGTCAGAAAGATGGTTCTCACTCAGGTCCAGATGTTTCAGATGGGAGGGGTTGGACTTCAGAGCTGAGGCCACAACTTCACAGTAAGTCTCTGAGAGTTCAGCAGCAGCTCTAATGATAGAAAAAGTAAAAAAAAGCATGAACTTGCTGTGCCACTWTATCTGTTTCCAATTGTATCTCTAAATTAACTTTGCTTTAAAATGATAAGAAGAAGTAAACCTATATATTGTCTAATTCCTGAGCAGCTCCTGTCACAGAGGGGAAAGAGACTGGGAAGTGGGAGGTGGGGGGGCAGGGGGTGACTAAGCTGGGTTGGGGGAGTGTGTCAAATAATTTCAAAAGCATAAACTTACTGCTCCACTAAATTGGTTTCCGTGTTACTGAACAATTGATCACTTTGCCTTAAAATGACTGCATGTTTGCTTGAAGTTTAGGAATTGAACAGGGAGAGAGATTRGCTCAGCTGTGGCTGAGCTACTCTAAAGGCTCGGTTACAGTGGTGCTTTGAGCCGTGCGCTGTGTGAAAACATAGTTGACATTCATGTTATCGCTCTTCTTCTGTCGCTGACAGATAGCAGTACGGTGCCAAACCAGCGGAAAAGTAGTACGAGAGAGTGTAGAACAAGAAACGCTTGATGTCACACATAACAAAGTAACCACATTTACTTCTTTTGCCATATAATCTAACATAATATAGCATAACTAATAATTACTAATAAAATATCTGTTTCTCTGTGCTTCACGAACTGAGAGAGCCACACTGGTTTGTTTCCTCCAGGATCACGGCTTTCACAAACTGGTCGCAAATATTTTTCCATGTCTTCTGGCATAAAACTCATCTTTCTTTGCAGCCKTTGCAATTTCCTTCCATGAGTTTTGTGCCATCTGGTTGTCTTTGATCTCCCATGGAGGGATCATAGAGATGCCGGTACATTCGGACCTGTTCAGYGAGAGCACCTTTGCAACAAGTGGCGCGCAGCCTTTGCAGAGCTTCAAAATTTCGGAGGTGCATGACCACGTGTCAGGACACAACGTGGGGCCAACGYGCGGGGGCAGGGATGCAAGCCCCCTCACACCGTGCGTCGAGTCAACTATACCTAGGCTTAAGAGAGAAAATGAGGGAGAGGGTATACCCCAGTGTGCGCCATGGAGTGGGTGGTGGTTGAGGGAGTTGTCAGCAGGTACAAGGGAGAAAAGGAAGATTGGTGAGTGCGTGCGTGTGTGTGTGTGTGTGAATGTGGATGCTCTGACAAATAACTTGTAAATTTGAAGCTGAGTATTTTTTTTATAGACAATCAGTATATACCACTATAACCTCTCCCTCAGCTGCCACCTTATTGTGTTGGAGAGGTTTGAAAGGAGCTATGTTGTCAGAGGCTTCATGCTCCCGGTAGGGTCATCCAAGGCAAACGGGTGCTATGTGTGGGATCAGACAAAACGCAGCCCAAAGACCCTTATGATGGGTGCTACAAATGGATTGTGTTCCCTTGCCTGAACGCAGGTCACTGGGGCCCCACTCTGGAGCCAGGCCTAGAGGCGTGGGATGTTGCCAAGCACCTCATGGCTGGGTTTTTACCCATGGAGCCTGGTTGGGCACAGCCTGAAGAGGAGACGTGGGTCCCCATTCCCATGGGCTCACCATCTGTGGGAGGGGCCATAGGGGTCGGGTGCAAAATGCAGTGGACAGTTGTCAAAGGAGAGGACCCTAACGGTCTTATCCTCGGGTACAGAAGCTGGATCTAGGGACGTGGAATGTCACCTCTCTGGTGGGGAAGGAGCCTGAGCTGGTGTGTGAGGTTGAGAGGTTCCGACTGTATAGTTGGACTCATCTCGACGCACTGCTCTGGCTCTGGAACCAGTCTCCTCGAGGAGGGCTGGACAGTCTTCCACTCTGGAGTTGCCCATGCTGAGAGGTGCCGAGCTGAAGTGGGCATACTTATTGCCCCTCACCTTGGTTCCTGTCATTGGGGTTCACCCTGGTGAACGAGAGGGTAGCCTCCCTCTGCCTATGTGTGGGGGTATGGGTGCTGACTGTTGTTTGTTCCTATGCATCAAACTACATATTACCCACCATTTTTGGAGACCTTGGAATGGGTGCTGGAGTGCGCTCCTGATGGGGACTCCCTCGTCTTGCTGGGGGACTTCAACGCTCATGTGGGCAACGACAGTGAGACCTGGAGGGGTATGGTTGGGAGGAACGTGCCCACCCCGATCCATGTTTTGTTATTAGACTTCTGTGCTCATCATGAATTGTCCATAACAAACACCATGTTCAAACATAAGGGTGTCCATATGTACTCTTGGCACCAGGACACCCTATGTTGCAGTAAGATGATCAACTTTGTTGTCATTTCATCTGATCTGCGGCCACATGTCTTGGACATTCAGGTAAAGAGAGGGGCGGAGCTGTCAACTGACCACTACCTGGTGGTGAGTTGGCTCCGTTGGTAGGGGAGGATGCTGGTCAGACCTGGCAGACCCAAACATATAGTGAGGGTCTCCTGGGAACATCTAGCGGAATCTCCTGTCAGTTGGAATTTGACTCACACTTCAGGAGAACTTTGAACATGTTCCAGGGGGGGCTGGGGACGTTGAGTCAGAGTGAGCCATGTTCCATGCCTCCATTGTCGAGGCGGCTTACCTGAGCTGTGGCTGTAAGGCTGTCAGTGCCTGTCATGGCGGCAACCCTCAAACCAGCTGGTGGACACCGGTGGTGACGGATGCTTCAGGTTTAAGAAGGAGTCCTATTGGGTCTTTTTAACCTGTGGGATTCCAGAAGCAGCTGCTAGGTGTTGGCAGTCCAAGCAGATTGCAGCTTGGGTGGTCACTGAGGCAAAAGACCGGGCATGGGAGGAGTTCGGAGAGGCCATGGAAAAAGAATTCTGTACAGCTTTGAGGCAATTCTGGTCCACAATCCAGCGTCTCGTGGTGGGGGGCAGTTTGCCACCAACAGTATTTATGGTGGGGATGGTGTGCTGCTGACCTCAACTCAGGACGTTGTGGATCGGTGGGCAGAGTACTTCGAAGACCTCCTCAATCCTACTGACACGTCTTCCCATGAGAAAGCAGAGCCTGAGGACCCTGAGTCAGACTCTCAATCTCTGGTGCTGAGGTCACCAAGGTGGTTAAAAAGCTCCTCGTTGGCAAGGCGACATGGAAGGATGAGATTCGTTCTGAGTTCCTTAAGGCTCTGAATGCTGCAGGGTTGTGTTGGTTGATGCGACTCTACAATATAAGGTGGACATCGGGGGCAGTTCCCCTGGATTGGCAGACCGGGATGTTGGTGGCCCCCTTATTTAAAAAGGGGGGACCGCAGAGTGTGTCCTAACTATAGGGGGATCACACTTCTAAGCCTTCCTGGTAAGATCAATTCAAGGGTCCTGGAGAGGAGGGTCGATTGGATAGTCGAATGTCGGATTCAGGAAGAGCAGTGTGGCTTTTRTCCTGAACATGTAACAGCGGACCAGCTCTACACCCTCAGCAGGGTCCTGGGGGTTTCATGGGAGTTTGCCCAACCAGCATGTGTTTTGTGGACTTGGAGATGGCATTAGACTGTGTCCCTTGGGGACTCCTGTGGAGGGTACTCCAGGAGTATGGGGTGCCCATCCCTTTAATATAGGATATTAGGTCCCTGTATGACCAGTGTCAGAGCTTGGTCCTCATTGCCGGTAGTATGTCGGATTCATTTCTGGTGAGAGTTGGACTCTGCCAAGGTTGCCCTTTGTCACCGATTCTGTTCATAACTTTTATGGACAGAATTTCTAGGTGCAGCCAAGGTGTTGAGGGGAACTGTTTTGGTGACCTTAGGATCACATCTCTTCTTTTTGCAGATGATGTGGTCCTATTGGCTTCATTAGATTGTGACCTTCAGCGCTCTCAATGGAGCGGTTTGCAGCCGAGTGTGATGTGGCCAGGATGAAGATCAGTGCCTCCAAATCCAAGACCATGGTCTGAATTTACTGGTTGGTCTATGTTCCAACCCTCATCTATGTTCACAAGCTTTGGGTAGTAACCGAAAGAACAAGATCGCAGATACAAGTGGCCAAACTGAGTTTCCTTCGCAGGGTGTCTGCGCTCACACCTAGAGATAGGGTGAGAAGCTCGGTCATCCGGGTTGGACTCAGAGTAGAGGCGCTGCTCCTCCCCATTGAGAGGAGCCAGTTGAAGTGGTTCATCTGGTTTGGATGCCTCCTGGACACCTCCCTGGTGAGGTGTTCCGGGCATGTCCCACTGGGAGGAGGCCCAGAGGAAGACCCAGGGCACGCTGGAAGGACTGTATTTCTCGGCTGGCCTGGGAACGCCTTCGGATTCCCCCCAAAAGAGCTGGCCCAAGTGGCTTGGAAGAGGGGAGTCTGGGTCTCTCTGCTTAGACTGCTGCCCCCGCACCCCAACCCCGGATAAGGGGAAGAAAACAGATGGACTGATGGACAATCAGTATAATTTAATAGTGTTCTTGGGGAGACTTGGGCTATTGGTTCAGAGTCATGGAGTCAACAAATGAAGCTTAGACAAAGATTCAAACTCAGCTGTTCTAACAAAATCTGCATTGTGGATTTTGACTATGCTTCAGTGCTCTCAAGTTTAAAAAGGAACCGATATGTGCACAGGGGCTAGATTGTAATACATAGTCTATTATAACTCTGAGTTAAAAACAATAATGTGACAAGGGAAAGATAAAATTATGATGAAATTAAGTCTGCAAGAGTGATGTAAAATTGCCTTGTTTTTGAATTTGCCTCTGCAAATCTGCAGGGTGAAATACAACTAAAGGATAGGGAAATAATGGGAGGTGCGGGATGGTTTTAGATCAGTTTGTAAATTTGGTCAGATTTTTGTAAAAATGTTTAATTTGATGAAGATTAAAAAGTGTCTATTACTTTATCCAAAAAAAAAATCCCTCATGGTTCTAAGAACTACTAATAATTCAAACAGCTTTAGGCAGCACGACGGCTCAGTGGTTAGCACCGACGCCCCACAGCAAGAAGGTCCTGGGTTTGAACCCCGGTTTGGACCTGGGGTTTTTCTTTACAGAGTTTGCATGTTCTCTTCGTGCTTGCGTGGGTTTTCTCTGGGTACTCCGGTTTCCCCCACCCCCCAAAACATATACAATAGGATGCCTTCAGGCCCAGGCCTCCCTTGAAAAATAGATCTAAGATCTCARTGGGACTTGCCTGGTAATATAATGGTAAATAAATAAAATAAATAATAAATAGCTGATATTCACTGACTGATTATTGAATGAAACATCTGGACTTACCGAAACTTTCTGCAGTTCCTCACAGCTGGAATCAGTCTCAGTCGTCCTTCATATGATGTCCTGTACTTCTTTAGGTCCAACTCATCCAGAACCTCCTCTGACATCTGCAGCATGTAGGTCAGAGCTGAACACTGGATCTCTGAGAGTTTCTTCTCTGATCTGTTCTCTGACTTCAGGAACTCTTGAATCTCCTGATAAACTGAGAGGTCCTTCATCTCCATCAGACACTGGAAGATGTTGATGCTTCTGTCAGGAGAAATACCAAATCTGTTCATCTCCTTCAGGTTGTTGATGACTCTCTGGATGGTTTCTGGACTGATCCATGTCTGACCCAGCAGACTTGTTAAGAGTCTCTGGTTGGACTCCACTGAGAGGCCATGAAGGAAGCAAACAAACAGGTCCAGATGGCCATTTTTACTGAGGAGAGATTTCTCCAAGACTCTGTTCAGAAATTCATATAAATTTGAAAAAGCATCCTCATCATGATCATCATCACAAAAATAATCTTTCTTCTGAAACCTCTTCATTCCCTCCATGTTCTTGTTGTTGAAACAGTGGAACATGTAGACTGCAGCCAGAAACTCCTGAACACTCAGATGAACAAAGCAGTAGACTGGTTTCTGGAAGATCACACACTCTCTTTTGAAGATCTCTGTACAAACTCCTGAGTACACCAAGGCCTCTGTGACATCAAGACCACACTGCTCCAGGTCTTCTTGGTAGAACATGATGTTTCCTTCCTCTAGATGTTCATAGGCCAGTCTCCCCAGCTTCAGAAGAACTTCCCTATCAGTCTCTTTCAGCTCCTGTGGACTGGTCTCAAGTCCTTCATGGTACTTGTTCTTCTTCCTGGTGGTCTGGACCAGCAGGAAGTGTGAGTACATGTCAGTCATGGTCTTGGGCAGCTCTCCTCTCTGCTCTGTGGTCAACATGTAGTCCAAAACTTTAGCAGTGATCCAGCAGAAGACTGGGATTGCACACATGATGTGGAGGCTCCTGGAGGTCTTGATGTGGGAGATGATTTTGCTGGACAGATCTTCATCACCGAACCTCCTCCTGAAGTACTCGTCCTTCTGGGTGTCAGTGAAGCCTCGTACTTCTGTTAGCCTGTCCACACATGAAGGAGGGATCTGATTGGCTGCTGCAGGTCTGGAAGTGATCCAGACYAGAGCYGAGGGAAGCAGGTTCCCCTTGATGAGGTTTGTCAGCAGCRCGTTGAGCGATGCCTCCTGTGTGACGTCAGAAAGCAGCTGACTGTTGGTGAAATCCAGCTGAAGTCTGCTTTCATCCAGGCCGTCAAAGATGAAGAGAAGTTTACAGACAGTCAGCTTCTCTGCTGGGAGCTTCTGGAGTGTTGGATGGAAAACATGGAGCAGCCTGAGAAGACTGTACTGCTCATCTCTGATCAGGTTCAGCTCCCTGAACGACAGCAGAACCAGCACACTGACATCTTGGTTCTCCAAGCCCTCGGCCCAGTCCAGAGTGAACTTCAGCACCGAGAAGGTTTTTCCAACTCCAGCTACGCCGTTGGTCAGAACCACTCTGATGACTCCATGTTGGTCAGGTAAGGCTTTAAAGATGTCCTGACACCTGATTGGAGTCTCATGGAGGATCTGGTTCTTGGATGCGGTCTCCAGCTGCCTGACCTCATGTTGGGTATTAACYGCTTCACTCTGTCCCTCTGTGATGTAGAGCTCAGTGTAGATCTTGTTGAGGAGAGTTCTATTTCCTGTTTCATCACTTCCTTCAGTCACACTTTCACATCTCCTCCTCAGACTGATCTGATGTTCATATAAAACCTCCTTCAGACCAACATCTGAGGAAAAATGTGACACAGAGCAGCTCTGAATGCTTCAGCAGAAACTCCAACATTTTTATTGGAGCTCAAATCTGAAGGATGCTTCTAATGATCTGAACTCTTCAACAATGTGTCTGTATTAAAACAACAGGTGGACAGAAATGTCTTACCTTGGACACAGCTGCTCTGACTGTCTGTCTGCAGTCCAGTTCTTTCTCCACACTGGGGACAGGAGGAGGGTCCTGATGAAGCAGACTGGTCCCAGCTGGTAGAGACTGGATCCATCAGGACGTCCTGACACAAAGAACAGCAGGACAGCTGCTCCTCCTCACAAACACCACTCCTCTTCCTCCCTTTGAAGACATTTCCTGATGAAGAACTGGAAGAACAGGAAGTGTTGATTAGATCAGTTCTAACATCTCTGGCTGCTGCTTCACTCTGACTCAAAGATGAAGAGAAAACTGGAGTTTAAACCCCTGAACCATCAGAGATCAGAACCAGAACCTCATTGCCTTTTAGGCTTTTGCGGTCTGAATTATTGCTGCAGGATCATTTAGACAGGAAGAATAAAAATATTTACTAGATACTGTTAATGACTCATTTCTGTTAAATGTGCATTTTTGTAAATACAAATATAAAAACTATTTTAATACATTTAAATGAGTTCATCAAAGGCAATAAAATTCAGTCTAAATCAAAAACAGTTTTCTTACTGCATGTCTGACGTTCCAGGTTCAGGACTGAAGACTACTGGTAAAGACTTGGACTGGTCACTCTTCATGGACAAACAGCTGGGTTCTGCAGGTTCTGCTTTCTGTCTGAAGTTCTGACCTCTGAAACAAAAACATGTTGTTCTTCACATGATCAGTGAAGAAAACCATTTCAGAAACTCTGAACACACAAACTGCTGCAAAGACTCTAAAGGTCTCATGTCTGAAACTGTCCTCAGATCAAAGTCCAGATTCTTCTGTTGGACAGCAGAGATGATCCAAAATATTAGAAAAGGTGGTTAAGTTCAATTAATGCTCAGAACTATACTGGTTTAGCTTTAAACATTTTAATGTATGAAGCACAAGCAGAAAATTTAAAATTCAAATACTGTTTCCTTACCTTTTCTCTGAAGGTCCGTGCTCTTCACTAAACTCTGGAGGTTTGGACTTGTTACTTTTCATGACTAGAAAGCTGGATCTGTCCTCCTCATCCTCCATACCAACTTCCATCATCTGGTCTTCAGTCATGCTGAGAGACAAACCACTAAAAATCCATTTTCATGTGGATCAGGTCCAGTCAGTTTTCTGCAGTCAACTGTTATCTCAAGTTTCTGTAAAAAAATAAAATATATATTAATCAACCTTTATCAGATTTATTTCCTCTTTTATTTTAAATCTCTTGCTCCTGGTCCAGTATTCAGTGAAAGTGAGAGCACAGTTTAGTAATCCGTGCGCACGGATTGCCAAAACTGAGTGCACAGTTTAGTAATTCGTGTGCATAGATTACCGAAACGAAGTGCACAGTTTAGTAATCCATGCATATGGATTGCAGAAACTGAGAGCATGGTTTAGTAATCTGTGCGCACGGATTACTAAACTGAGCGCATGGATTTTCAGCGGCTGTTTATTTTTTTCTCCCACTGACCCCTGGCGGGCTCCGTAGTAAGAGACAACACACCACACAAGAAAAGATATTTCATTCATGACCATTCAGATTTCAGATTGAAGTCACACGAGACTTCCTGAAATCTCGCGAGAATTCAGATGTCAGATGAAAAATCTCACGTTACCTCCAGATAGACATGATTTCAGAGTAAATACACTTTTGCGACAAGGAAGAAACAGTATTGATCGCTTGTGGGCTATTTTTTTTTTTTTACCAGAGGAAAAACAATTCCATAGGACTTTTAACATCCAGCAGACTTTCTGCTGAGTCATGACATGTTTTTTGTCTGCTGTATTTTGGAATCCCCTACGTGTTTACTTCACCTCGCTTTCTGATTGGCTACTCGTCCCATTCAGCAGGTTGCGAGTTTGTTCTCGGGTGAACACTGCACACGGTGTGATATTGGGCCAAAAAATCAAACATGTTGAATAATGGCCAAATGAAGCCTCGTGAAGCTTTCCAGCCCATTGCTTTGCTCAAAGGTTCATTACTCGGTGCTTCATTCATTGCTCACTATAGTGACATCTGCTGCYAACCTGAAACTGACAGCATTGTCACTCAAATAAATCATATTTTCAAAAATATTAGAACATAGCAGTTGGGCTATGCAATATTGTCAAGTTCTTGTCAAACCCACATCTAGTAAAAGGTCTATTGAACCCTTTTCATCCATCCATCCATCCATCCATC